GTCCCTTCTGACCCTACCAACTATGAAACTATGAAACTGAGGTATGAGGATTTTTATGCCCCAAATCATGCAACTTGCCATGCTACATGTTCACGAGCAATTTGGGAAATGGGTCATAAAATGCCCCAGACCACAATCACATGACTCCCAGCTGTTATGGCTGCCCTGTGCTAATACCAACAATCAGCTGATCATCAGGGTTTAGCAGGGAACAACCCCTGGTTCAGGACACAGCTGCCCTGTGGCCAATCTCTGATACTAGACTAGGGCAGCCTTAAGTCCCAAGCTGACACTCAGGCTGCCCTTTACCCAATCTAAGGGAAGGGCTCCCTGAGACCCAGCAGGTTTGCTGCCTTCTACTGCCAACTCCAAGAGACGTATAGAGCAAGGCAGCAAACCTGTGAATTGTAGGGAACCCCAGAACTCCTCACCCAGTTCCAGACCCAGGCCTGCCCCAATCAGATTACTGTCAGGATCTGGATGGGGCAGCCCCATGTCTGTGACATGCCACAAGCTGTTTATAATACCAAACAAACCAGCCACAAAGAGATCAGCAAAGATCTGAAACAAATGTGTAACATCTTTGTGGCGGTTTACCATTTGATGGCACCATATATTGGCTTAGCATATGTCACATCACATATTTAACCTGTTAGGCATTACATTAATGGCACAATTGCCAGGGCTGAATGTGTATATGACCAAATAAAGGTTACTGCTTTAAGACAATTGTGCATGGGGGGGAAAAATTGGGACTTCACGTGACAACTGTAAACAAGTAAAATTTCAACATTCCTAATGCAGTGACTAAAAATGCAGCTCAGTACTTGTATGGAAACGTTTTTCAAGTGACTGACATTTAAAAATATTGTATTTACTTGTATTCAAGATGACCCCCCAGTAATCAGATTCTCTACATGGAAAAACTATAAATTTGTTATAAATTCCCACGTACAGAAACTAATTATTGGAGGATTGCCTTTAATTCATGCCCTCCACTGCCGCAGGGGGGCAGGCAACGAGGCAGGTTGCATGGAGAGGTTAAGTAGCTTGCCACCTGCACGTGCCTGCCACATTGCCACTTTTACCCCTGTAGGCCTCCCACCCCAGCCCCAGCCCTAGCCCTAGCCCTGCCTTTCCCCCATCCCGTCCCCATCTTCTGCTCCCCTCTCCAGACTGCTCCCTGCTTTCCCTGTTCCCTTACCCTTGCTCTGTGTTGAAAGGCTCTAGATCCTTTCCAGCCTGAGGCACTAAACTCAGACCTAGCCCAGGTCCAGAGCAGCACAGTACCCCAGACTGCAGCACATATAAAAACCTGCTGGCATGTAGCACAGGTAAGGGTGTAGAAAGGGGAAGAAAGGGGCAGGCTGAGGAGCAAAGTTGCACAGGGTAGGGACATGGGGAGGAAGGACCTTTGGGGGAAGATGGCGCAGTGAAAAGCTGGCAGTGAGGGCAGAGATCAGCTGCAGCTACAGATCCCACTGCCTTCATGTTGATTTTAAGAGGTGGGGCTTTTTTCCCCAATGTTAAATGAGGGGAGAAACCTTTTCTTAAAATCAAATAAATACAGTATATGAAATGCTGTAAAAATAAATGACAGTCCAGAACATGTGTGAGGCAAGCGTTTTTATGGGCAATATCTTTTATTGGACCCACTACATGGTTGAGATAGATTTAGACAAGTAACAGTGTTATATAGTACTACAAAAGATCCAAATCTTGCCAGAGACTTGCTTCAAACATTTCCAAAAATTTGTAAGTTAATAAATAAGAGAAAACTTAATATATTCTAAACAGACTGTGAAATTTACTACCTCTCCCCTTTTGGGCATCTGCAGTCAGAACACAAGATCAACAATTTAGGAGTCTCTTTTCTACACCCAATGTCTCTCATTTGGGTATAGGACCCTGATCAAATCACTTACACTCTTTTCCTCAGTAATCCCACATACCCCAAAAAATGGGGACAATCTAGCCGCATCTTTGTGACAGAGTCTACACAAGATGCTACTGCGCAGTTATTATTGCTTGTTTATTTAGTGCATGTATTAACAAGTACTAGATAAATGCACAGTAACCTGAGTTACTGCAGAGCAGTACTGGCAAATACAGTACCTTTTTTGTGATACTACTGCGCAGTAGCATCATGTAACAGTTTTTGCCACGTGATACTACCGCACAGGAGTACTAGGCTACTGCATAGTCAGCGTCTCATGTAGATGCACTCTGTGGCACCTCACATAAGTGGCTGAAGAAATCACCAATCACAGCAAAGGAATAAGTGCACTAGGCATATGCAATCTATCCTTGCTCACTAGGCAAACTTAAGGGAAATAATTTTGCCTGCAAGCCTACATTCGCATGGCACACTGATATACCGTTAGCTATGATGTTGGTTACTTGACTGTGCAATCTCCCAGGTTACAATACACTGTAAACTAGACCGAAAATGGAATACCACCATACATGCGAGACTGTGTGAGACTTACTGAACATAAAGTTTCTATGATAAAAAAGCAGCATTATACCATTCATGAACAGCAAACCCCGAACATATTATTAAACCTTACTCCCTCACAGGCAGTCACACCTTCCTTATGCATGTTATCTTTTACATTATATCAGCTTAATTTGAAGCGATACAGTTCTATTCATCACCTACATTTTACAAGTGATATGCAAATGCAGCTGTGACTGCAGATGCTCATAAAGGAAGAGGTAGTACATTTCGCAGTCTGTTTAAAATATGTTAGTTTCTCCCTTATTACCTTGTTAACAAAAAAGAAGGCCCAGGCCAGCCTTCTAAGGGAACTTCCCAGCTAATATTGCCTCTCTTTTTTTTAAATAAGTAAATAAATAAAACCAGCACATGAAAGGCAGATATGGCTCCACTTTGTGTAAGGAAATTTGAAAACCAAGCTGTCGGCCTGTCATGCAATGGGGTTGCAGCAGGCCTACACCCATAAAGACACCTATGAGCCTCCCTTCATGAGAAAGGCAAGGGAAAGCAAAACCTGGTGGCAATAATGAATCAGGAAAGGGGTCGGGGGGGGTCAAAGGTTACCCATGAGGGCTCCAAGGGGGAGCAAAGAGCGGAGCCAGGGCCCACTGACCCCCCAAGCCCTGCCGGGAGAAGGGGCTGGCAGACTGCCCCAGGGCCCGTGCCGTCCCCGCAGCCACAGCATCCCTCCCCGCCAAGCACTTTCAAGTGAGCAGACTACAACCTCAAAGACCTAGGCAGCAGCCGCAGCCCCACACACGCGGAGGCCCAAACGTGAACTGCTCCCGCAGCGCCCCAAGGGAAGGGCTACGGCTCGGCCCCGCGGTGGAAGCCCCAGGCCCTGGCGGCCCCGCCCGCCGCCGCCGGAACCACGTGGCTGCCGCAGGCCG